GCTAAAACCCACGTTTTGCAGAACATTATAAAATTAAATTATAGAAAGTTTAAAGTTATAAATAAAGACAATATAAAACAAATCTTGTATCTTTCAATTGTAGTTAGAGTAACATTTCCAACTTTTCTTGCAAATTTGAAGATATATATACAGAAGAAATGAACAAAAGAGTTGAAGTAAAATAGCACCACTCTTCTGTAGGGTGGATATGGATAGTGCAGAACATTATAAAATTAAATTATAGAAAGTTTAAAGTTATAAATAAAGACAATATAAAACAAATCTTGTATCTTTCAATTGTAGTTAGAGTAACATTTCCAACTTTTCTTGCAAATTTGAAGATATATATACAGAAGAAATGAACAAAAGAGTTGAAGTAAAATAGCACCACTCTTCTGTAGGGTGGATATGGATAGCTTGACACTTTCTCCCCTGTCCCCCACCATTCTATAATCAGTTCTAATGCTGTAAAATTTAGCACTTCAAGCTTAGGGAAATCACAACTGAGAAACTGCTTAAAGGCTGATCCAATTCAGAAATGCTACATTTTGCTATTTGACAGCTTTCTGGATACCAAAGTTCACACTCCAAAGTTGCCTCTCCTGAGCATCACAATCTAATCGCTGCTTCTCCTTGTACAAGATGCTCTCAGTCAGCGTCTACAACCTCTTCCTTGGGCTGCACCCAAGTCGCACAGAATTCACATTCTTGAATGAGAAGCTTTCAAATGTCACATGCCTGCCCCCAAACACATGCGCAAACTCAACTTTAAAACCATCATTGTTTCCTTCTACTTTAAAAAAATTGTACAACACATGATAACAAAACATCAAAAGAGTAGTTAATCTTAACAGTTATTTACTTCTCCTGATGTATTCATACAGTAATATGTTGTCTTTATTAAAATTATGCAGAACCTTTGTAGCGGAAAGTGTTTAAAATGCTCATCGCTCAATGCAGATATGATTTGGCTGACTTTCAACCCATTATTTGAGACCTTTGCACAGCTCCTTGGATATTACATGTTTGTTTCTTCTAACAATCAGTCTTGGAAAAATTCCTTTGGGTTATCACACCTCACAGACAGGAGGGACCCCTTTTTTTCTTCTCTCCTTTCTCTCAAGTTGGAGGTGAAAAAAATCAAGAATGATTGGGCAGCAATTAGAGAGACAACCTAAACATCATTCACCACTTGCTATATGTTGATTTTTGTTAACATCTTCTGTGAAGTTTTACACCTTCTCAAAGTACTGTTTGCTACTAATCACAGTCACTATTTCACCTCCTTTTCAATACTTAGTCAAGTATTAAGCCCTTATTAAGTACAAAAAAAAGTCCTCTGAAATCACTGAAAACTGTACCTGTTTACACTTCAGGTGAATGCGTCCCATTTCTTATGTCTTTTTCCCTTGAAGTATTTGAAGAGGGAAAAAAAGGAAAGAGCCATAGAGGAGAAGTAATATGAACTGTGGAATACATACAACAATCTAGAATAATACTGTTCCCACAGTATCTCATGCAGACAACTTTTCCATAAACACAACAGTATGTTTAAACATAAGGCAAACGGACACTGGAGGCCACTAAAAAGCTCATTTGTATACTTCCCTTTATGAAGTAAAAGTCCAATTTCATTTAAGTGCTATAAAAGTAATCCTAACACATACTATTGTTAAGAATTGTATTTTTAAAAAGTGTGTTATCTGTGCTTTTGTCTAACAATCTGTTTACAGAATTTACATTTGTATGCTGAAAGTAGATTTTTTTTTTTTTTAAATTTACTTCCAGAGAGACACTGTTTATTATAAGTCTTACTACAGTTGATTGAGCTGGTAATTCGACAGAATTATAGTCTGTTACTTAGTGTAGCAGCCACTGTTTTTATAATCCTTAAAACAGTAGAATTCCCAAGGCAGATTTGTCAGGAAGCTGTAAACAAATAATTTTCCAAGACTTATTGGCAATAAACAAAGTGATCTTTAGTCCTTTAGGATTTAAATTTCTCTGCCAAATTGGAATTTTGGAAACTCTGGAATCTACTTCCAAATTAATACTCTGGAGCGGTTTGGAAACTTGTCTCTGAGGAAGAGTCAAAATCTATTTCCAACCCAGACTCATCAGAATTTGGGAAAAAATTAGGAAAGGAGTTTAAGTGTGAATGCTCCTGCATGTTAGCAGAAGCATTTTTCATAGCTGAGTGCACAAAGCGTGAAGATTCCCAGAGCCAGGTTTCAAGGTCTGCAGAAGAGTGAGGCATTTTAAGGTGGCAGTATGAAGAATGAAATTCCATAGTAGATGGGACAGTTTGACATTTTCTTAGTGATGCATAATTGTCCTTCCTGTTAAAAAAAAAAGAAAAAAGAAAAAGATTATTAGTGTTTCAATGACATTTCTACTACTATTCAGATGTCTGACAGGGAATCTTCATATAAGGAAGAACACTAGAGGAAAACAGTTAATTCAAAATGCATTTAGTGAGTTAGAATATGGGACAACAGGAAAAGGATCTTGAAACGATCATATCTAAAAGAGGGGCACTCTGCCATTATGTGTTGTCCTCAGAAGTAGATATAAAATAGTTACACTAAAAGTCACACCGATGAGCTCAGAAGGGCAGACCCAGTTTGTACATTACCTCTTAAATAGTCCTGATCTCCCCCAGCTATCCACTTGGAATATTTACTGATTTACTAATCACAGCACTAACTGAACATTAACAAGAATAGTCTCAACATTTACGAGTTGAGTAGCAAATACAGTTGTTCAACTTCCCAAATGCCATCTCTGCATTCCACTTTACAACCAGCTAATTATCACCAACCTGAGCAACTGGAACAGAACTTTCCTACACTCTAAAACAGCACCTGAATCACCAGGTTAGTCTTTTCCAATTTGAGAAACAGGAAACTGAAGTTGTCACCAAGAGTACCCAGTTTTTTCTTTAAAGTTCTCTCTCCTCTCTTGCGGTGCTTTTGGGAAAAAAAAACCCAGAACAACCCACAACACCCCCTCTCACACACGAAAAAACCCAACTTGCCATACACACACACTTCAACACCAGTTTCTATACCTGAAGTTTAGGTGCACTAGAAGATACCATCCACCAAGTCAGGTTTTCTAAAAGGATTTTCAAACTTCAAACAGCGCAAATTTTTTGTAAGATTTAAGTTTGATTCCAAAACAGAAGCTAGATCTGATGACATAAGGGGAAGAACGTAAAAAAAGGTGGGGGGGGATTACTTTCTGCAAAAGCAGCAATAGGTTCTTGGTGGATGCTGAAACAAAGTACAAGCCCATAGTCATCTGTAGAATACAATCCAGGATTCTGCACATAGAGCCTTGGGACCTAGCTGCCTGAAAAGTGAATTCACTTAAAGGAAGGCTTCAGAAAACTTCTAAGTTTGACAGTGTAAACAGTTCAGTGGGAGCTGATCACCCTGAAGACAGCATAAAAGCATACAGCAAAAGCCACATGACCACCATGTTCTGTTTTATGGCCAAGAGCTTCTCTTTCCACAAGAAGAGAAACAATGTTTCTGATTAATCATGACTCAATAACCCCTCTGAGGAGTTAGACCTGAGACAGTCCCATGATGTTGTGCCTTCCGAACGCCCCTTTCAGAGTCTCATGATTGGTAAGGCTGGATTATAAGCAACATCAAGAAGCTGCTAAATAAGGGTAAAAGCAGGAGGATGACTATACCCAAATTTATTGTGGAAAGGAATCAGAAATATCATTAAGAGAAGAAGGAAAAAAGAACACTGAATTACATATGGTATCAAATAACTGAAGAGATGACAGTAGGATGATAGCAAATACCTACCAAGAACTACACTTCTGCCCAGATAGATGGCCTCAAAAGCCAACTAGTGTTATACATGAAAAGGCTTTAACTGATTTCAGAAAGGGAGAAGAGAGGCTATTTGCATACAGGAATTAAATGCTTCTGAATTCTGGATAAAACTGAATATTGTAAAAAGAAAATATCTTTACAACCTAATATTAAAGCCACCATTTAATACTTCCAAAGGGGGAAGGAAACCCAAGCTTCAACCTCATTAAGTTTTCCATTAAGCCAGAACCTTTAACAGTAAGTTTGACTACTCTGTACTTCTAAGGGATGGAGCATATCAATCTGATCTTTCACGATGCCAATCCAGAACCTGGCAAAACTTATCATAAGAAAGTAGGATCAAGCAGTTCTTCTCAGACATATCAAACCTGCATTTCTGATGGGTCAGTGCATAGCATTGCCAAGGCAAAAAAAAGCATCTTTGATCTTCCTCCTTATCTAACTTTTTTACTAAAAACAGGAAGACAAAAGCTCAAGAACTCTTGGCTCGAATAAAAGCGTATTTTTCGTTTTAATTTAAAAGTGTGCTGTATATAGAACATGGCAATGCTTTAATTGAAATAACTGCTGCAGTTAGGAGTCTCCAGGGCTACAGCTATCTCTTGGAAGCTTTTATGAAGCATTTAAGAATTTTCTTCACTCCTAATAGCTTTTCAGGCTAACTTCTCTCCCTCTTCTTCTACCTCCTACCCAGCAACTTCAGGAGTTGAGACAATCATCAGAAAAAATACAATAAAATAGATATGACCTACTCTGCTGAAGTCTGGATTTATGCTTTTTCAGACCAAATCTTAGGGGACTTCATACTTACAAGCATTTGGACCTCCGAGACAGCCTATGTTTCTCTACTTATAGCACTACTCTTGACATGGCTGTGCAACACTGTTCCAGCAGCAACTCCATTATTTAGCAAGAAAATCTAAGCTGAATATTTGTCATATTCATTTTGTGAAAGTTTGCAGAGCTCCTTGGGCAAATACTACACTCCCCAGCAAAAAGTGAAACAGTAATGGTATTCTTAGATTCATACTGAGGTGAGTTGTCACCGATTCCTCCATACACAGTGCTACAAAATATAACAGAAGTAAAGGGTCTGAAAGGCTACATCTCACACCAGCTTAGTAAGGGAAGCATAAGGAACCTAGTTACAACCAGGTTAGAGTAGAGGTTTCTCTTCCATGGAAACAGAGGTTCCTGAAAATTTTCCGTATGTGTCTTATTTTAATTATTCCCAACTATCTTACAAGACCGACCTTCATATTCATCTACTTTTTAACTCTTACAACCTTTCCTATCCAGATTCCTAAGAATCTAGTCTTTCTCCCAATGTTTTCCAGTTCCTACCTGCTACATCTGACTTAGAACATCTTGAGCAACCTTTTCCACCTCTTTTCTTCCTGATTGCTCTAGCTACTGTGGAGCAGAGAACAAACAAGGTCTCCGTTCTCAGTCCAATGCCTGCTCCATAACCCACCCCTCTCCCGAAAAAAGGGTAAGCCTACCAAAAGACAACGCCTCTTCATCTACAATATGTAGCAGTCATTGATCATTTATAAACAAGAAGCACCAGAAAATATACTTAAGAAACAATGCTAAGGATTAGAAGCAGTGAGAACTGTTTTATGTAACCTTTGAGGAAATTATTAAATCCTGTTTTAAGAGAGAAACTTGTTAGTACTTGAAGCTCTGACCAGAGAGAGAGAGAATTTCTAAAAATGCATCATTTGCATGCAGCAGCACTCCACTTTACCTGGATGTACAGAACAGCTTCCTTTTAGCCTGGGAATAAACTGTACCAGCAACCCGACAAAGCTGTTCTTGCATCCATCGAACATCAGCAGGCATGTCAGGAAACCAGTTCACTAACCTACAATCAAAACCAAAATACAATTGTTTTGTAAGCAGTAGATCTAGCCTGCGTTATATTTTTTACGTACCATGTCCAACATCCAACAAAATCACACAGCTTTCATTCTCCCCAAGTTAATTCCCCCACCAAGGTCTCCAGTTCTTCCCAACCTTCCTGAATTCCCATCTAGCCCACTCATCTCTTTTCTACAAGCTAAGAAAAAACGGGCAGCACAGACCACTGCATCTCTGATCTATGCTGAGTGGCTGACCAGTATGTGCATTCTACACCCTGTAACCAACATTTAGGAAGCCTGCAAAATACTCCTGTCTCCAAGACCTCTTTCTGTGTGGTAGGAACTAAAGTTCAAAGTTAGGTGGAAGAAGAAAGAAGAACAAAAGAAAAGCACAATGGAAGAACACATAGAAGGCAGAAACAGAACAATGTCACAAACGTATTTTTTTCCTTATGATGCTCTTAACAGAAGTCAGCTACACCAGAGGGGGACGAGGGGGGAAAAACTCACACAAAGATTCTGTTGAAACTTGTTTCTTCCCCATCCACCAAAAAATGGCACAGATGTGCCACATTAAATGGCACAGAAACAAAATATTTTACTGGAGTTCTATGTGGTTCCACTTACAGCACATTTGATTTTTCAAGTATTTTCTAAAGATAGTAATGACATCTGCTGCTCAAGGACTGGAATTCTCTTAAGCAAGCACAAAGCTTAGGGTTCATGGTGCATTCATTTAGCATAATTTCTCCTTTACAAGAATTGAAAAACTTATAAAATTAAGCCCTGTTTCAAGAGCACAACTTTCAGTCAACCTAAACAAACCTGGTAAGAAAAGTTATATGGTGAGTAAACACTGGATTTCACTCCTGACTTCAGAAAGAAGCTAAATCACAAGAACTATCTGGATAGAGTTCAGATACCACTGCAGAATATAGCAATAGTAATACAGAATGTGCTTCTGGAAAACACAATTAACGGTGCTTCTTTCAAGCAATTACGAGACAGCTACTAGAAATAAGAGCAAATTGTTTAGGAATCGTCTTAATATGTTTATTTATCTAGCCTTACACTATAAAGGCTTTAGAAGGATGCATTATGTAGCTAGAAATAATGGTCTTTGGACAGTTACCACGGAATTCTAGAGTACCAGAATGCCTACAACACTGAATAAGCTCTCAGTGAGTAAATTTCCAAAAGTATAATCATTCTAAAATGGTTCATTAAAAGTTCCTTACCGTAAAGCAACAGAGTAAGCGGACTCCACTGGTAGTGTATACGGTAGCATCAGATAGGATATCACCCGCATTGGGAAGAGTTTAGAGAACTGAGCGCAGAATCCATTCTGTTCTTTACAAGCTTCCTGCAGTGCTTAAGAATAATTATTTTTGAAAAAGATGTTAGACTATTTGAAAACAGTTTAAATAATTTGCTCAAAGTTTGGTAATCTTCAGTCAACATTATCAAGTGTTACTGAATAAGGCTCAGATAGAAAATGACAGAATTAATCTCAAGGCACTCTTACCATAAACCTTCTCTATGCTATTTTAAAATACAGGAAACACAGACTCATACCATAGGGACAAAAGGCATTACCCAGAACTTTTAAGCAGTAAGTCTAAGAATTAATTTATAATAACAGAATGTAAAGTTCACCTCTCCAAAAATACTTCTGTATTTTAGATAGCATTCCTGTCTTGTTAGAGACTCTATAACTCTAAGGAATTTGTTTAAATTCTAGAGTTCCGCATATTCCAGTTGTTCTCCTAGGTCACTGGCATCACAAACTTCAGATCTTGAAAACACCTATCAGCATCCACAAAAAAAACTAGGTAAAAGTTATAGATTAAAGAAATATCACAAGTGGTTTGTCTATTAACAGCTTATTAAAAAGACAGGAAAGCCAGAGAATTAGAAATCTACAGAAGGCTGTTTTAAGAATAAGATGGAGATAACCAGAGTTTGGACTTGAGGTTCAACTTTGGTGTGAAATACATGCTTACAAAAATACTGTGCATATACAAAGTTTATCCAAAACCAAATGAGAATTCAATTCACAACTTTGCAATGTTTAAAGTAGCTTCTTCCTCCTGCTTCAATCTTACTTCTGTAGCTAAATCAAAATGTACATGTTCACATTTAATAAGAATTTAAAGAACTTTTTTGGGTTGAGCTAGTCTCTAATACCATAGGCAGTTATAAGATTAAATAAAAAGCATCTTATGCAAATCGTAAGAGTAAGCAGGGAAAAAAATAAATCAAAGTTTGCCATTCAAATTTACAGGAAACAGACTGAAGCATGTACCTTTACGGAGTCTAGGAGGTAGACTCTCAAATATGCTCTTCTCCAAAGGCCATGGATTTTGCTTCAGCTGGTTATTAAGTACTTCCACTTTCAAAGTTTCTACTCTGTTATTTTCTGTCAATATTTTTTTCTTCATATGGTCAACGTGTTGTGCAGCCTCATGAGGATTTCTTTTTGAGAAGGACAAGTGGATATAAATTGCGTCATTCAGAATACCTGAAAGAGTCAAGAGCTTCCACTTAGGCTTGATCCACGTGTCTTCAGAGTACCTGTACAGTACCTGTAGTCTGTGTATCTGGACAAAGACCTATCCTGAGGGAACATTATCTACCCAATGTCAAACACACTTGCTCTTACAATCCCGCAAACGTTTAATCACACTGATGAATACCCTTTTGCAGGTTTAGGTCTAACTTTAAAACATGTTCTAAAGAAAAGGAAAAAGTGAACAATTAACTGAAACTGCACTGGAAACACACAGTCATTTACCAAAGTTGTTTTCCAGCAAGAAAGCAAATGATTTAAAGGAGAGGAAAAAAACCTGATTTAATATTTATTTGAAAGAAAACACCTAAAACACATCGGACATTTGGGAAATTTGACATGGCCAGGTATCACATGAGTACTTTGAGGCATTGCTACAACAGGGTGGAGAAGGAAAGCAAGTAGGGTACAATATTGCTTTAAGATATATCCAAAGTACAGATCTAAATTAACATTGGTTGCCTTGCAAAACTGGTGCAAATTAAGAAATAGCACTGTAATTACCTTAGAAAAAAGCACTAGATAATGACCACAAAATGAAAAACACAAGAAGGGTATTTATACTTGGTTTCCAGAAAATAGTTACGAAGTTATTTATGAATAAAGACTACCAAATTTGACTAGGATCCATACCCACATACAACAAAATCTGTACCCTACTTACAATTACTCCTAAAAGACAAATGCCAGAAGAATATAGAGCGAATTTAGCAAAAAAAGGTTATCTGAAGTGCTACAGATGGGGGGAAAAAAATTAACTCCTACAGTTGAAATAACTTAACAAGAAAGGAGATGCATAATGAATTAGTTGGAAACGTTGTAATTATCAGTGATTAAGCTTGAAGCAAGACAAACCTGTGACAGAATAAGAACAAAGGTGATCACAGGATCAGCAGTGTGAAAAGGAGGACAATAGTGCAATACACAGAGGACACGGGGGAAAGACACCAAGGAAGAGCTCCAAGGAATCTCAGATATTAGTGTCAGATGGAAACAAGCACACAGGAAACTTGTGGGTGCAGTACAGCAATGGAACCCGTCTTAGCACAGACAACCACAAATTATAGGCTCTTTGTAAAATTTGTGCTTTTAATCACCTGGTAAAAGGTATAAAGCAGGACTCTCATTAAGTATTTAGTAATATTACTAGAAAATGAAACTCTTAAGCAGAACTGTGACATTCTTTAACAGTGAAGAAAATTGTTCCAAGAAAACGTGAATGCTTAATGTTTAGTTATAACAGAGTATAAGCAGTGAACACGTCAATCTATAACTGCATTACAATACTGCAGCTGGTACTATCTGTAATAGTGCAAACATCACATTTCAGTTTCCATGCCTCTAATCCAACCCAGTACCAATTTGCTTCTCCATCCAAAGACTACACGGGCTAAGCATATTTAATATATGGTTAACTTCATGCTAATATCAAGTTACTGTCTTTAACCAGTTTGTCTCCAAGTGTGCAGCACCATAACATTAATATAGAATATGTTACTGGAATGCTAGGGATAGAGCAGAGCAACTTTCAATTCTTCTTCCTAAACTTATCTGGATCTCAACAACTGCTACATTACAAGTCATCTTCTTCTGAAGTCTTTCATGATACAGACTAAGGATTTGACTGTGACTGAGTTTATATCGTTGTTAGCCAGCTCCCAGTTCTGGATTATAAGGCTTTACCTAGAAATTCACTTGGATGATAGCAGAAGGGAGGTGATAAGAAGAAACAGGTTTCACAGGAGAGGGAAACAATAGCCTATTCCTATCCTTCACGATTAACACAAAAGAAACCAATAATAGGATTTCCCTAGAATTGGAATTTTTTGGTAATTTCACTTAACAATACCTTAACATTCACTTCACACAAATTTGACAAAAACCCAAAAGTTCAATTTTGTGTGCCAGCAAAACTTACCTCAGGCGAATAGTTACTACAACTATGTGATTTCTACGAGAACTAAACTTACCATGATCCCTTCAAAAACCTCAAAGACTTAGCCCCTTCTTAGCTACATACAACCACCGCACCCTTTTTCTTTTTTAAACTCAGGTTAAGACCACATCATCAATAATTATCCACAAGTAACATACCATTCTCTCTCAAGAACTTAAGAGCATCTGAATATCCTTGTTCACAGATCTCTCCTAGTACCTGCAAGCATAGGGTAAATGAGTCGGACAAATAAAAGGAGATTCAACTTAAGATCAACAGTTTGCAGAATGAAAAGCCACTTCCATCCACCCTCTATTCTTGTAAGAAATATTTACATTAACAATTGCTATAATTCAATAGATTCAGGTTAATATGCCTACTGTGATGATGCATACGTGATCACGCATACATGAACATATCTTTCAGCTATTACAGATGCACTGAATTATTCACCTAAAAGGACAGCATTCTAAGGACAGTTTGCAAGAATTTCTTCCCCTTTTGTTTCTTTGACTAGCCTTTCAGCAGATGCAAGCAACAATGAGACAGGATGGCTTGGAGTATGCCAATTCCCCTCCTTCCCTCCCAGTGCTTCCCACTTCCCAAAACTATGAAAAGTCAGCTGTGCAATTCTCATGCTCAAACTCAGACTTAGTCTTCCATATGAAAACATCTTTCACCAGATGCAACACCAGCTCACCTACACAGTAGTCCTAGACAAAAAAAAAAATTAAAAAAAATTAAAGCCTACATAAGTAGAATTTAACATTTTTCTTCAAGTGGTCAAAAAGCGCTCGATTAAAAAAAAATATCTATAGCAGTCAGGAACACTACTTCTCCTCTGTAGTATATCCCAAGCCAATTGGCAAAGTCTGTTTTCATTTTTTCAGCTTCCACAACAGCAATTCAAGAGCATTTCCCTCATCGGATCTGCAATTAACAGCACTTAGCAAAGTTTACAGGCAACTTGCCTGCATGAAGTATTAGTTGAGAACTTCACAAAACCATGAAGCTTTAGAACTTCTTCTAAGTTCTGAAGGACCTGGTTAGCAGGTAAACATGAACGGACTACAAACTGACAGTTATTAATTTACCAATGTTGATTTTATGATAGAATCCTGTGCTAATTCCCAAATAAATTGAAAGCCAATAGCAGAACATGCATTTTTAGTCTGAGAGACTAAAAATAAGGAGAATGAAGACAAACTATGAAAAAAATAGAAACAAGAAGAGAAATGTCACCAGAAAAGTTTATATGACTAGATGAAATGCCAAGATTACTGCAGCTTTCTGCAAAAGCAAGGCTTTTCTATGGAAAGATGTTTTAGTAACTACATGAAGGCAGTGACTTACCTTAGGTTCTGGTGGAAAGAGCGCTTGTGTTAAACGATAAAGGTTCCCCAAACTGAGCTGAATGCTTGTGTTGGTCACATTCATTTCATGAAAGTTGGCAGAACTCCCCTTTGGACAGATATCACACTCCCCAGCGAAAGGCGAAACTGTGATGGTATTCTTAGATTCATAGTGAGGCAAGTTGTCACTGATTCCTCCATCCACATAGCGCTACAAAAATTAACAGAAATAAGAAGTCTCAAAGGCTGAGAATTTCTAACTAGCAGATTTCCCATGCAAGAATTAAACAGCATTTAAGACTGTAACAGAACAGTCTCTGCCTATGCTCCTGGGCTAAACATTTTGAATAGCATACTTTGTCCTCTAATGCCAGTTAAAAAACATTCCTACCTATAGTTACATGGGTAGCCTAAGAGTATTCTATTTGGGATTTTTCTGTATGTTTAAGAAAGAGCAAGTCCATTTTAAAGATCATAATCCTACACAACATGCAGAGAAAAAGTAGCACAGCTGTCTCCTCTTCCTCAAAGGACAACATCAACCAAAGAGCTACCGGGATACTTCTTTAGAAGGAATACGAGTAAAAGAATAGCTCTACACTTCAAAGCTCAAGTTCCGTGATACTAAACCGTTCAGTTAGAATCAGAGCAACTTAAAATTACTCTTAGTAGTTAGAATTTGATATAAAAGCATCAAAAATATTTGCACATAAAGAAACAGCAAGTAAAAATGGGCAATGCTTCAGAAACCCTGCCGACAGTCATGGATATCTATTCTGCTTTGAACGCAAGTTTAGAAGCTGTTCTAGGTTATGCTTTTATCTTCTTCATGTTGAATTGCCCATTTCTGTATCACCATCTCAGACATTTTAAGATCCAAGAACTGGAGAGTTCTGTATTGGGGTAACCAATCTATGCTATGGCTAAAGACAACTCCTCCACTTGCTCACAACAGCCATCTTTTCAGTGGGGCCAACTGTAGCTAGTTCGTTCTGACAGTGGCAAAAGACCACCAGCTTTGCTCGTTTAGTAGCTGTGTTTTCCTTCTTCCTAACTAGGCAACAGACATAACCTGTAGGTCCTTGTAAAATGTAAATGTTAACAAAGCAGGTGATTTGAGCAGGAGCAACCTGGATTATCAGTTTCATCTGCCTTGATGACCACTCCCTGACCATTCTGAGAAACAAATTTGGAATTAGGAAGATGAAAGTTCAGAGCGATTTATTGAACTCTTCTAGAGCAGCCTGTTCCTAACTGTCACCTTTCTTGGACACTCTTTAGACCCAGCAGCATGCAGCTACTGACAAACTTCCTATAGGTGTATAATGCAATCACTAAAGTACACATGCAATCACCAAGTCCTTTGTGGAAGTATCAAGTACAATACAACAGGTTTGGCAAAGGAGGAGCCATAGCATGCAGCCTTCTCATGAAATTATTTAAAGGTGGAAGCATGCATCTGAGTCACTGTTCTACAGAGGTAAATGGTTTTAATTATTTCGAGTTTCTCCCTATCTGTTCTCCCTAGTAATTTTTTAATGTAAAACCTGAAAGGGGTAAAAAAACCCGAACAAAACCCACCACACCCAAAAGCTTCACAACTGGCAATTAGATATACCTATTAAAAGTTATCCTTAAGTCTTTGTTTTAAAGTACGCATGCATGAAGCACCAAGCCAGTAAACAGCAAGATGCTACAAAGTTTCCATACTTGACATTCTACTGGGTTTAAGCCCTACAGGAATCATGCCAAGCATACGCAACTGTGGTATTCTTACCAAGTTACATCAAAAATGCCTCCTAAGCATTAAAATCATATCAAAATAATTGCAAAGGTCAAAAGGATGCAATGATTCCTTCCTTCCCCTTCCCTCAAAATAGGACCAAATAAAGCATCACTTGTATGTTTTTGTACTCTGAACTAAGCCTTTTAAAATAACATTGTTGTCTGGTGACAAGAACCGAATAGCCAGATTAGCCTGGATCCACCTAAACCTTGGATTCAGTCCAACGTCCTGTTTTCATAACACCTTTAATCTGTAAGAGTTTAAGGAGACATACAAGGTTTAGAAGTACAGATAAAGAAAAATCCCTATACAGTTCTAATGACTTTTGCTTAAATTTCAGCATGAAAAAGAAAATATGCTTCGTGTCTATCCTTGACCTTTTAGCACTTCCAAATTGCCTTGAGAACAGTCTGTAATCAACCGCTGTTAAAGATGTTTTGAGTTTTCTTTCAATATTCTTCCCCTCTCCTTGTGTAAGGAGCACAAGTTGGAAGAAAAGCAAATGCAAGTTAATACAACACTATAACAAAAAGCCACAAATGTCACTGCCTTGATTTGAAATGCATGTCTGCTTCCAGACCTGTTAATCAAAACACCTACAACAAACTATACTAACTTTTCCACAGTTGTTGCCCCTTTAATGGGGGATTTTAGAAAACACAGTATAGCCATTAAGTATTAAGAGCTTTTGTAACCAACAGTTCCTCTGAAGTAATAGAACAGACTAAAATACTGACACTTTACCTTTAAAAAGCAACCTTTCTTACACTGAATACAAATGACAGAAGACATTAAAAAGCTTTATTTATATCTAACTGAACATGGAACTTTAATCCAGTTTTAAGGCAGATCTACCTACAGCAAGAACACAAAGATATACAATAAACTATCTTACAAATTTTTTTTTTTTTTTTAAATAAACAAGTGTAAGTGACCCTTCCTATAAATTTGTGCAGGTGAACAAGCATCACTTTCTTCAATATTTATCCTTAAGTTAAATACTTGCTAGCTTAGAATACCTTCTTTAAGTACTGCAAGAAGCAAGCAGTATTTTGCAGTATTCAGCAAGCAAGAAATTTAAGAGCAAGAGAGCGCATGTGTGTGTGTTTTGCAGGGTGGAGAAGAAATATACATAACAGATCTTCCACACATTTAGTATTTCCTTGCTTTTTTGAAAAGTTGTAACATACAGCTACAGTACTAGAAGCTATGATGAAGGTATTTATTTTATAGTAGGATAATAAAAAAAAAATATACATTGTCTCTTAATATTTTCAGAATAGCTAGAGCTATTTTTAGATCTTAACAATAGAGACTTACCACACCTCTAAAGGACGGTGGAATTAGGCCACAATAAATAGGGACAAATGAACTACAGATTAAAGCCTGTAGGAAAATGAGACCATATAAATTAAATGGTAACTGTTCTATTATTGCAATTATCATTTATCTTTAGCTCTTTAGATGTTAGCAAAAAGCAACCAAGCAACCAAAAAAATCCCCAGCAAGAACACTTGAATAAAAAGAAGGGGGGGAGGGGAGGAAAGGGTATTATCAAGCATTATTTTAAACAGGTTGAGGGTATTCCACATTTCTTTTTTGGAATGTAACCACAGTCCATCTAAAAAAATGGTACGACTCACTAAAAGACCATTTCTGGAAATGCTAATTAGCAAGGAAAAGTTTATGATCATTCACTCAAGCACATTTTCTGAGTAACCAAAGTAACTAACTGGGGACACAAATATCAACATTCTGGGATCCCATTAAACTAGCTTTGTCACTAAGAATTTTAAAAAGCTATTTTTGATTGTTTCTTGATCACTGCTTTTATAAGAACGACCTTAAGAAGATTCTTATTCATTAAGGATATTGTTTCATTAGATACACTGCACTTTAAAGGCATTTATCCTTTTTAAGATTGATCCCTCCCACCTACTCACTAAAACAGTTTGCAGATACATTGACCGGGAAAACTAGTAAGTGAATTTAGTGTAATAAAGCTTGAATTCATCTTTAAAATACTGTCGAAGTCACAATATCCTAAAATGTTTAAAATAGAAATCCAGTGGATGACGTCAAATGTACTTAAGATTACAGAAACTTTTAAAAGTTGCCAAAAATAAACATACCTGGACAACTTCTTCTTTAGAGTTAAAATTAGATATCAATGCATTTTTACCATCTGATACTCTGGTTAGTGAAATACACAGTCTGCCCGATGACAACTTGTGAGTGTTTTCTGGAAGATTTCTCATCAGTCCCTCTCTTATTATCTTTATCACATTAAAGGAAGGATGAAGAGGACCAAGATTTCGCTTTCTAGCTTCTTTGGCTAATGCCAGAACATCTGCACAAGCTTGAGCTGAAAATAAAATGCATTTAATTTAAGAACAGAAGATAGTCAAAAACAAAAAAACACGCTTCCAGTAATAAAACATGTCTAGAGCTCCAACTTTTCTCTCTGATTGCTAGCATGAAAATTCAAGAGCTTTTTAACAAATAAAGTAACTGTCCACTAGTGTTTAACAGAGCTTAGGGGAGTTCTGAGTAAAAAAAGAAAAGAAGCCGCTTTAGACTTTCAAATAAAACTCCTGGTGAAGACCCAGCCACTAAGTTACTCATATGTTATTTATATGTAGACTGTAGGTGTAAAATACCCATATAAGATGCTTCCACTAGGAATTATTCATCCCAGAAACACCTTATTTAAGAAAAAACAAAGATGAGTGACCTCCCCTGTAAACATGTGTGCATGGACATACTCCATATCCATGAAAACCTACAGTGTATGATGCACAGATTTAAGGTCCACAGTATGTCTGCTGAAGAAGCAGAGCACCTGGGTTCATCACAGCTAGTAACACTTGTTGGACTTTAACCAAACTTAAGGTTTCAGGGCACCATTTATTTTCATTTATACATAAACACAATAAAGGGAACATTAAATGTGAATTTATGGTAAGGAATGTCAAGAGGGAGATTTTTAAAGCAGTAGGTAAGGAATGTGGAAGAGATCTGTAACACCTCTCACACTGGTCTCCACCTAAATAGGTGCATTTTTACCAATATGTAACAGACATAATAATTTTTTCTCCAATTAAATTGGCATTTGGGAACTAGATCAAACCACTACAGAAGACACGATTGTTCCCGAAGAACACTAAAATCATTTTAACAACCACACACCTAGTCATAGCAAGAACAGCAGCTCATCCACCTGCAATGTTTTGTTTGAATTTTTAATGCCATATTTCTCCAGAGCGTACTTTCAGGAAATTGCCTGATAAGCTTGTCAACTTGGTAGATGAAAGGGGGTGGGGAGGAAGGTCAAAGTAACAAGTTATTAACCTGAGTGATATGCTACAAGGTCATCTAAAAATATTTTCAGAACTTGCATGTTTTAATTTACAGTGACCCTTTCTAGAATAGATAGGATTCAACTTACCAAGTTAAATGTGAGCACTGCACTGGAAACAACTCTGCTTAAGCCTTTGAGTTCAGATTAATTTCCAAAAATATTATCTTTCCACAATGTTATTTTTTCCCTCTCAAATAGCAATACCTAAACCTTTCTCATTCTTAACACAGTAAACCAGGAGTCTATTTTCAAAAGAGTATCTCTAAAAAAAAAATCTGAGGTATCAGACATACTCCTTTTTTACCACTACAATTTTTTTCGTTCCACCCATGCAGAGTGAAGCCTTGGGCCATGAATCCACTGATACCAGTAGCCTGACCCCACCTCTCACCCCAGAAGACAGCAAACAATTTAGACACAGCTCACTGTTCATGGTCAAATATATGCTTATGTTAGTAAAACACATTTTACATACAATTAAAAAAATGGCACAAGTCACATTCTGGCAAGTGAAGAAGTTATTTCCAAAAGCAGTTATGTAGACAGTTTTAGCAGTTCTATTTTTCATGCACTCAGATATAAATTACCACCTCCCTTTTTTTTTAATAAACTAATTTAGCAATGTTCAATCTTCTAAACTTTCTAAAGAGAGAAATCAGGCACGTTGCAGGAGTCTGAGACACTGAACTACCAGAACTGTCCAGGAACAGCAGTCTTAGTGCATGCATTAATTTCCTTTTGCAAAATAAGTACATTTTTGAAAACTTAAGCACCAAGCAAGTAAATTGCTTGTTCTAAAAAACAGACCAAAAGCACTGGGTGCATAGACACTTCTCTGCCAGGTCTTGACCCTGTTTTTCTAGCTAGCATCCTGTCAAACTGAAGCTCATGCTATTACTTAAGTTTGAAGCATGGTAACATCTTCACTCATTTGCATTGCAGGCCTGTTTCTGCAGAAAAAATAAAGTAAACCAGTGCCCTCTACTAACCTTGTGTTGTGATTATTTACCTCTCACCATAAAAAATGTCAGGCAAGTATCACTTTACATACCCCATTAAAGGGCTGCAAAACTGATGACTTCTAACAGTTTAGATTTGAACGCCTCTCATTTCAACTTCCTTTCAGACAATAACTACCCATCGAAATGAAATTTGATTTCACAGTTTACCCATCTCTTCCACATACAAGAGTTTCTACATTTGAGGTAGTCTAAAGGGGGGGGGGAAGAAAAAATCAAGTTTACATATTTCATTTATTGTAGCCTATTTTAAATACGAGAAGGGCTCCCAAGCAAAAACAAGAATGTGTTTTATCTACCCAAGAGTATGTGATATTAAAACACTGAAAATTTAAAAAGCTGTTCCTTATTAATTCAGACTTCAAAGTTTTCCAACTTCTTTTCCTTCTCCCTTCCGTCCTCAACAGGACTAAAATACAGTTACCTCTTAGACTGGTGTATTCCAAAATGGGATCTTCTCAGAAAGGGACAGAGGGCTAGAGCTCAAGTCAGACTGGAATTTTAGGCAGACCTTGGTACATCTGTTTTATTTTTTGAAATGCAAGAGAGCTAAAGAAATTAGTGTTCCTATTAAATGTGAACTGTTTCTAGCTAGATTTCTATATTCCTAGTTATATTTCTATATTCCTATTTTTAATGGTTGTTGTGGTTTAACCCGGCAGGCAGCTAAACACCACACAGCCATTTGCTCACTCCCCCCCAGCAGGATGGGGGAGAGAATTGAAAAAAGGTAAAACTTGTGGGTTGAGATAAAGACAGTTTAACAGGACAGAAAAGGAAGGGAGAATAATAATAATGATAAAAGAATATACAAAACAAGTGATGCACAATGCAATTGCTCACCACTCACTGACCGATGCCCAGCCAGTTCCCAAGCAGTGGCCATGCCCCCCCGGCCAATTCCCCCCAGTTTTTTGTTCAGCATGATGTCATATGGTGTGGAATATCCCTTTGGCCAGTTCGGGTCAGGTGTCCTGGGTGTGTCCCCTCCCAGCTTCTTGTGCACCCCCAGCCTCCTCGCTGGTAGGGCAGTGTAAGAAGCTGAAAAGTCCTTGATTTACTCTAAGCAGTGCTCAGCAACAACTATAACATCGGTGTGTTATCAACATTATTCTCATCCTAAATCCAAAACACAGCACCATACTAGGAAGAAAATTGACTCTATCGCAGCTGAAACCAGGACAATTGTTAAATAACTATTAATCCGTTTCCCACAGAGTAAAACCTGACATCGTATTTACAGCCCCCACCAAACCTGTTCTCTTTAGTGCCCTACTAGAATGGATGACCATATCACCACCGAAATAGCAGATCTCCAAGACATCCATGGGGAAGATCTAAGAAGAGGAGTGCACTTTAACAGTTCCAGTTTGGAGTAGCCTGGAATGCACTTCATCCTCAAAACAACAGTCACCTCTAAGCTTCTCCCTCTACCTTCCCCCAAATTCAATGAAGGAAACTTCTTCCTCAGTCTGGAAAATTACACTTTTTTCCCCATTCAATGGCTAGTGTTTACATTCATTCAAACTTGAAATTCTACAGACTCTCAGTTTGCCTATCCAGGAGGTAACAGGAAGCACAAAGAAACCCCTTTATTTAAAAGATCTGGCTACAAACCTGTACGAGATGAAATACGCATGCCAGCTTTAGTCAAAAACCCTGTTCATATATATACATACACACTCGAGTTTTATGTGCACCAAGCAGCGTACTAATTCAGGTCTGGGTCCAGTCAAGCCTTGAACACCTCTAAGGATGGAGATCCCACAACCTCTCTGGGCACCTGTTCCAGTATTTCACCACCCTCATGGTAATTTTCTTTTTCCTGTATCTAGGCAGAATTTGCCATGTTCCAGCTTGTGCCTCTCATCCTTCCACTACCCATCTCTGAGAAGAATCTGGCTCTGTCTTCCCACAGTGAAGTGCAACTGTGAAAACACTTGGGACCTATAACCACAACTGCAGAAATAACAAATACTGCATATCAAAGTATATCAATGTAAGGGAGGCATACAATACGAACTAATGAAATATATAAAATTATTATACCACATAGTGTTTCTTTAGAGCTTATTTACAATCCTCAGCTTTTACACAAGCTCACAAAAAATTAACAACTAAAAAGATACAGAATTAACATGGGAATACCTTCTTAGTTTAATCAATTTACAATGATTCACAGATTTTAGAATGTGGCTGGTTTTGAATTGTCTTCCAACATTCCCAAGTGGGAAAAAAAAAGTATCCAGAAGAAATACACTTGCCCATGAAATACAATACCTTGGGCAGTGATCGCACACATATTAGGTATTCTATCAGTAAGAGAAAAGCAAAAATCTCAGTTGGCGTATGAGAAGGGAAAGACAAGGGAATAATTTGACGTCTGCAAGTCTCAATTACTAAAATGCTAAAAATTTTAAAAGCTGTTAATAACATACTTTCAGGTAAACAATATACATTTTTTGTGCTTAAGAGCACTTCAAATATTTAAAGCAGCTTCCTTCTTAAATCCTTTACAATGACTTAAGACCGAAAATTGGATACGTTCTAAAAATAAATAATAATTGTGCATAAATATGACTTGTTTTAAAAGCTGATACTAGGCTCATAATAACTCAAGTGTGTTATGTTACGAAATTACAGCAAAATTAAATTAAAAAGTTTAAGTAGCACAAGTTTATTGCTAAAGCTTTGAAGAAATTAAGCATATGTGATAGAGATCAGTGGCTAAGCAGCAGGGACAAGCATTTCACAGCATTACTCTCTTGCACATACAGAGAACTTCTATTCGTTTTAGTCACTGAATTGTTCCCTCAAATTTAAAAGCAAAATCCAAACCCTCTCCAAATTCAAAGTAAGCACTCATTGTTTTCCTCCTCCATCTGTAAGTAAGATGAAATGTGAATTTACAAAACCTTCTAGTTCTAAACCCGTTAAGGGTACCGTTAATAAAACCAATCAATGTTGAGTCATGAACTAGACAAGCTTTTATTCAGTGGAT